CCCCCTCTCCCTCATGCAAGGCTCCCCGCGATTGCTCCAGACTGCAGCCTGGAGGCTCGGGCCTCCTTCTGCGCACTCCACACCTGCATCCTCATTGGGCCTCACCCTTCCTGCCCCTTGGGACTCCTCCTCCAGTGTCTTCTACTCCCCACGTCCTTTCACATGTCACTGGCTTTGTGGTTTCTCTCGATCTTGTGCCTGCCCCTACCCTGGGCCCCTGTTAAGCAAGAGGCCCAGCCTTACCTCCCACTGCCCAGAGGCAACCTTCTCCTTTCTCCTCTTTCCATCTCTGGCTGGACCTAAGAATTAAACCAACATGGAATCATAGGAGAAAAGCACACACCTGTACATGGGAGCCTAACTGAAGAGTACAGGCAGAACAGGTGACCACAGCAGGAAGCTGTCACACCATTCAAAGAGACAATGTGTGAAGAATTGGCAAGACAAGGGAGTTTGGGCTATGGGTAAGAAAAAGTGAAGAAGTGACGGGGAAGATGTGGGTTGGTTTAACAAGGTTTATCCACATAGCCTTCTCAGCCCCAAATTCCCTGTCTCTGGTGGTGAGAGTGTCTTCCATCCTCTTGGTACAGGAAGGGCACCTTTCACATGGGAGATTTATCTCCAGCTTTCCGGAGAACAGAGGGGCTTGGGGGCCTTCTTGCACTAGCTCTTTTGTAAGTACCTTTACTTCAAAATAATCAATATGCCAAAGTGGCATGATTGGGGGTGACATATTCTGACACCCCTCCCCATCTTCCCATGGATGCACCTTGCCGGCAGCCACTGCCTCTTCTACAGGGATACCTTTAAAGGCCACCTACCCACCTCACTCCCCAGGAGGTTTGGCTTTCTTTGTTTGGTTTCATTTTTACCTGTTTTAAAAAGGCACTTAAGTAACATATGCATTTACATTTTCCCCAACACCAAACCCCAAGCATTCCATTAACCACATGCTAGTTCATTGTAGACACCATCCTCAAACAGTCCGTCTTCTCTCCCTGCTCTTTCCCATGCTGGTCCCTCCGATGACACTTCCTTCTCCGTTTCAGTATGGCTGCCCGAAAAATGAGAGATAAGGCTGTGTTTGATAATAGACACAAAATACATAATGACTAAAACATGATCTTTTTCTTTCTTGTTTCTAGTCAGATGGCAGCTCTTTGCCACTGACTCGGGACCCAGGCCTCTCCACCACCTTCTGACTCCACCATCTTCCATAGAAGGGGCAGGGGTGTAGAAGGGGGCACATCCTCTATTTAAGGCCTTGGCCCAGCAAGACACACCAGCTCCAGACAGGCCAGGACTCTGCCCTGGCCACCCCTCAATGCAAAGGAAACTTGGAAATGTGGCCCAGTCCTGAGCTAGAAAAAGAGGAAAAAAAACAACAACAAAAAAAAGAATTTGGAGGATCAATTGGCAGGTTCCCAGGACTACCCAGAGCACTTGTCTCTACTCACTCATTAACTGTTCAGACAGGACGCTCCAGGTCAGGATAAATGCCTGGATTTGAAAGTTATGGCCCAGCCAGAAAAAGCAGGAAAACAGCTTCAAATTGGGGGTGGGGAGAGGGGGGCAGGAGGAGGGTTGTATGTTTCCTCTTTGACATTTTAAAGTATGAAATATCACTGAAGGCTGTTAAAAGTCGGCTAATCTGACAAGCCCTCTTCTTTGGGTTGGAAAGACTGAAGGACTTGGGGACACAGGGCTCAGGTGGCTCTGTACAGCAGGAGAGCTTACCACCCGAGTCAAGGCAAAACCATTCACCAGGTCCACCTGGGCCCTTGTGTCTTGCAAACAAAGTCTCCCCACTGTGGTGGGTTTGAGCCCCGAGTTCATCCCACATGAAGTCAGATTTATAGACTCCCAACCAGGGCAAAATTAGTAGCATGAGCTCAGGCACGACCACTCCGAGCCACACACATCCATCCCCGCCTTGTAGGGGTGCTGGCTTCTGCTTCCATCCAGATGCCCCACCCACCTCCTTCCCATCCTGACCTCAGCTGCTTCCCTTTGACTCCTGTCCTGGTCTCTTTGTTGGAAGAAGAAAAAGAACAAGCAGAGTTTCTCTTTTACAAATGAAGGCTATTGAGGGCAGTGATCTCAAAGTCAAGGTTGTCAAACCCAATAGCAGGTTCTGCAGAACAAGTGTTGTGTCTTCCTTGTGCTGAAATATAACAATAGATCTATGGGATTGATTTTTAAGGAAACTAACCAACCATGAACAAGGTTAATCTGTAAGTGAAATTGGTACCACTCAGGTCCTCTTTGCAACTATCTTCTTATTCGGGTAAATGTTTTCTCAACAGACTGTGTTTCTCCTTTAACCCAGGAGTACACGTAGTTACCACAGAGAAAATGCATGGTACAGCCAAAGACTCAGAACGAAAGCCTAGGGAAAGAAACGGCTTATAAAACTTTTAGGAAGCTTTAAAATTATTGACTGAACAAGTACTTTCATACAGTGGCTAATGTGTTTACTAGCAGTATCATTTCCAAATTTCCCTTTGCACTCAGATTCTAGAAGAGTTTTCCTAATGCACTGTTAGCTAACAACTGTACCAATGCATGAGTCATGAAGGCCGTCAGAAAGGAAATAACCACGAGCCAAAACTGCAGATGTTCCATGTTGAGGCAGAAACCAAATAAAACGTGTAACACATAGAAAGAGAGAGAACATTTCCCCCCACACCTTTTTTTTTAACCTTGGCATTAAATCAACCATTAGAGTATAATGCGTGCATACTTACCAACAAAAACCAGAATTTTTATTTCCCGGCTCTGAAATTCGAGACACAATTTAAAGAGCTCACTCAAAATTCTTGCCCTGTATAAGGTGAATACCAGCACAGGCACAATTTAAGACAAAGGAATATTTATTATATGTCTGTTCCATGCAAGCACATAGCACATACATGGTTTCATTCAACTTTATAAAAACCCTATAAATTGGATATCATGATCACCATTTTGTAAATGTGGAAACTCAGGCTCAGTGAATTCAGATAGTTTATTAGTCTACTCAAGCTGCCGTAACAGAATGCCAAAGTGGGGGGTGGGGCTGGAGGTTTAAGATTAAGAAGCTGGCAGGATTCCTTTCTGGCCACCTTGCTTGGATTGGAAGACCTCTCTTCCTGGTTTGCAGATGGCCACCTTCTAACTGTGTCTTTGCACGGCCTTCCCTGGTGCACACCCAGGTGTCTCTCCCTCTTCTTATAAGGACACCTGTTCTATCAGGGCTTCACACTTAATGTTAGTTATTTCCTTAAAGGCCCTATCTCCAAATACAATCACATCGGGGGTTAAGTCTTCAACACAGATTGGGGCAGGGGGGAGCACAATTCAGCCCATAACAGATAGCATGTCCAAGAGCCCACAATTGCTAAGTGGCAGAACCAAGACTGTCTGAATTGAAACATTTCTTTATCCAGGGTGTGCTGCCTCTCCATGTGATGGCATCACAGATAGAATGGGAAGACATCCCATGTAGGGGCTGACTCTTAGAACTTGCTGGAGGGAGACAGTTTCACAGCAGTAAACTCTGTCCTGGTGGGAAGGGTGAGGAAGTATTCACATGAGCTAGATTATAAGGCACAAGGGTCCAAGTCAACTAAAGGCCTGTCTAGAGATGCCAAATAAAAATGGCTTCATCTATTCTGTTAAAAGCTACACAAATGCTATTTGGTTTCACTACCATACACCATACACAGTGTGGTTTCCATGATCCCAAAAGAACCAGCATTTCATTCCATTTTTCTTTTCTTTCCTCCAAACCACCAGCTAACGTCCTGGAAGGCGACTCCATGGATCAAGATGTTGAGAGCCCTGTGGCCATTCACCAGCCAAAGTTGCCTAAGCAGGCCAGGGACGACCTGCCAAGACACATAAGCCGAGACCGGACCAAAAGGAAAATCCAGAGGTACGTGCGGAAGGATGGAAAATGCAACGTCCATCATGGCAATGTGCGGGAGACCTACCGCTACCTGACAGATATCTTCACCACCTTAGTAGATCTCAAGTGGAGATTCAACCTATTGATTTTTGTCATGGTTTACACAGTGACATGGCTCTTTTTTGGGATGATCTGGTGGCTAATCGCATACATCCGAGGAGATATGGACCATATAGAGGACCCTTCATGGACTCCCTGTGTCACCAACCTTAATGGGTTCGTCTCTGCTTTTTTATTCTCAATAGAGACAGAAACCACCATCGGTTATGGCTACCGGGTCATCACGGACAAGTGCCCAGAGGGAATTATTCTCCTCTTAATCCAATCTGTGCTGGGGTCCATTGTCAATGCATTCATGGTGGGATGCATGTTTGTAAAAATATCACAACCCAAGAAGAGGGCAGAGACCCTGGTTTTTTCCACCCATGCGGTGATCTCCATGAGGGATGGGAAACTGTGCCTGATGTTCCGAGTAGGGGATCTCAGGAATTCCCACATCGTTGAGGCTTCCATCCGAGCCAAGTTGATCAAGTCCAAACAGACCTCAGAGGGTGAGTTCATCCCCTTGAACCAAACAGATATCAATGTAGGGTATTACACCGGGGATGACCGCCTGTTTCTGGTATCACCACTCATCATCAGCCACGAAATTAACCAACAGAGTCCTTTCTGGGAGATCTCCAAAGCCCAGCTGCCCAAAGAGGAATTGGAAATTGTGGTCATCCTAGAAGGAATGGTGGAAGCTACAGGTAAGGTGTAATCCATCCTGGGTTATCTGTGGGATCAATGCTCATTTTAAGCTGGACCTGACATACTTATTTATGATAAAATATGAAAATTGAGTTTCATTCACTATTGACTCCACCCCCTTGTTTCATGAAATAATATGCCTATGTGTCCTATAACCTTGGTGTACCCTCCAAGAAGCCTAACTATTTAACTTTTTAAAAGCTTTTGGAAAATAAACCAATAAACAATTTTTCGAAAGCACCACTTACTATATTTTAAATTTCCAAATATTTCCTTAAATTAAAATCTTATCTGTCTCCAAAGCACTTTTTAAGTGGCTCTAAAACATTGGTTAATTTAAATACTTGAGGTTATTTACTGGCAAGCCAGGAGAAAAAGTTAAGCCTTTCGAAGGAAGCCTGACAAATTGCTTTAATAAAAATGCAATTTCACCCCTTCTTTGGAAGCCATTTGCAAGAACTGTAGCACTGACTCTTCTTTTATATCAAGTGCAGGCAAGGTGTCTTTCCACATACTCTACCTGCTGAACCCCCAGCTGACATAACATTGTAGACCCAGTAAATAATTCAAGCAGGAAAGGAAAAAATTGAAGAACCATTCATCACAATCCCTTCCTCTGTTAATGGCTGATCATTGGTGTGTTCTTGGGAAAATGATCTGTCCTCAAAATAGAGAAATGGTCTGTTTTTATTAATGTCTTCACTCGTATCTGAACTTTATGCATGTTATACATCCCGATAGCAAAGCAGTTTCTGCCCATATTCATCGGTAACATTCCACAAAATAGATCCCTACATTCTGACTTAAGCTAAGAACAGTGCCCCACAAGGAAAGTATAAACTGGAACCCAAATTCATTATTTTCTTTCCTGTTCTTTGGAGTTATCAATATTAGACTTAAAATCCTCTTTAGATAAGCAAGCTGCCCTTCTGTACTTTGAAGTCTGCAACCTGAGGCTCAGGGTTCATCTATATAATCTGAAAATGCACGGCCAACAGCCCAGCCCCGGATTCTTCTTCAACCCATAACCTGATCTTGGTCAACCTTGAAAGTCGTTGGTCCCCTGTTTCCATTTCCCGGTACCCAACAGGCAAAGTCATAACCTCTAACTAACTTCTCTTAGAGTGGTGGAAACTTTTGGGCTAGGTTTTTTTAAATGCAGCAAACAATGAAAATGTGAGTAAAAGTCTTTGTATGGAGCTCAGTGATTGGCATGTGCTTCTTTCCATAAAACAAAAGGAACATGGACCTAATTTGAAACAGCTTAAAGAATAACAAAATAATTCATGTGGAATACTAAGAGCTGCTCATGTGAACGGGGCTATCTGTGCCTTAAGCCTGACTTTCCCATGTACCCCTGAGGCAATGATTGTGTGCGGGGAGGAGGAAGAAGAGAGAGAAGAAGGAAGGGGAGGAGAGAGGGGAGGATACAATCCAAACGGGGACCTCTGTCATTTCCTCGCAGACCAGAAACTTCTCCCACCTCGGCTGAGCACAGGGACTCTGGATCCCCCTACTGGTGGCCACTGTGGTACAGCCATCGGCAGCATCAACTGACCATTCAAGATGCGGTTTTAATATTAGATTTCTCGCTATTAATGATGTACTATATGTTGGCTAATTGAATGTAAATTTAAAAAAAAAAAGGATTACTCACTATAAATTCTCCCAGTAGGACATGAGGCGGGGGGGGGGGGGGGTGGACAAGCCTTGTTATCATTGTATTTCTGAGTTCAAGAAGTAAAAGCCACTGGAGATGTACCCTCTGGTTATTGGTGTTAATCTGAGCTTCAAATTGCAGGAGCTGAGCTTTGTGTTCCCTCAAACCAAAGCCCAATCTCAAAAAACAAATGAATCCAGAATAAGCAAATTATCTTTGTAATGTCCCTGAGTTGGAATTCTCCCTGGGGCATACCCTGTCTTTCTGATGACAGCTTGTTATGAGTGAGGCTTTCTAAAGGGAAGAACATTGTTTTCTTGGTAATTAACAGTGATACTTGCCTCTGAGCATTCAGCAGTCTTTCTTACTGCTTTCTTAGAGAAAAGTTGGTAGTTGCCAGCAAAAAAGAATCAAAACACTGTTCCTGGGAAAGTCAACTACTGTTAATTTTCTTTAAAAAAATAGTTTTCTAATTTCTGTTAAGTGGAGGGAAGAGTATTCTAGAAAGTTCTGGGTTTGTCTGGAAGCTGGATATGTCTTGATCTTTTCCTGATGAGATTCATACAGTTCAGTACTTCCATAACATCTGATCTCTTCAACTTCAGCGGGATGCTTTTTCTTTGTGAATGAAAAGCACAAATGGGATTTATGGATACTAAACAGGCCCTTGAGGGATGATGGAGGGAATGCTCCAGGGAGTCAAAGCCACAGGAAAAAAATAAATGTGGACCGAATGCACACCAAGGAAAACAAATTCATAAGAATCTAATTATTCATTGTAGGGCTAGATGGGAAATCAGAAGCCTTGAAAACAGCAAGCTGACACAAAACAATTTCCGTTTTATTTATTCCTTTCCAAAATGTCTTAGTTAACCTTAAACCACTATCACTGATCCCAATTAGCAGTCCTCTTCCAAGGATGAGCCCCACACCGCAAACTCACCACAATGCTCTCTTCCTGTCATGCATGTTGTGGTTACACAGTGATCCCAATATGGTGCTTTCTGGAAATCTGAGCTATCCTGCAGTGACCTGAGTATCCACCAGGGTCCTTCAGTCTGCTGAGCACCCTGACCTAACATAGGTCAGTTGGTGTTCCGTTGACACATTATATTCTCAGGATAGCTGTACGGCAGCAAGCCCGCTTTGTCACATCACTTAGAGTCAGGCACGTTTTTAGCAAATGAAAGTAAGCTCCTTGAAGGCAGGACATGAGTCTTGCCCAACTTTAATGCCCTAACATTCTGGCCCCAGTCCTCTAGCCTCATAAAAGACAGACTCACAAAAGACCCACAAAAGACCTACAAAAGATAGAGCCACATCCTTGGTGGATGGCTTTAGTCTGGTCCAGCCCAGAGTCAGAGGGATGTACACGGTGACCTCTCAAGAACCTTCCAGTCATGTGATTCTATTTTTGAAAACGAATCAAACCCTGGAAAATTCTGACACCAGCCACCCAGACATCTGGGAACTGGCCGCGTCTCATCCTGCAAATATATTTTTAAAGGGGGCCCTTTATGTTCCTGACACATGGGCAATTTTGAGATAGTGATGTTTACAGAAGGGTTCACAGCTACGTAAACAAACATGCTCAGCAGCTGTGGCAAATGTGCTTTAAAATAGTAAAGCATTCATATAGACTGTTATTTATAGAGGGCAAATTGGCCTGGAGGCTAGATGACAGCTACACAGAGCTGGGCCTGTTGCCAGCCAGCTCCTCACTATAGCCTTTCTGATTGATGAACTTCCATATTTACCCCCAACGATTATGCAACTATGACAAGCAGCCCTTTCCAACACCTCAGCAAATGTGCCTCGTTAGTTAGGATGAATCCCCATTAAGCTTTTTTTTTTTTACACTTTTTATTATGGAAATCATAAAACTTATACAAGAGTAGACCAAATAGTATAATTAACTCCCATGTACCCATCATTCAATTTCTAGAATTCTCAATTCACAATCAAACTTGTTCCATCTATACTACCACTCACTAACTGCCCCTGGCATCGGATCATTTGATCTACACATCTTTCCGTGTGTGTTTCTAAAAGACAAGGCTTCTAAAGCATAATCAATTGCTTTCAAATCTGCTTGTTTGAATCGGGATCCAGAGGAGGCTAACACGCTGTGACTGGGATCTCGTTCAAGCCTCTTAATCTCTGAGCTCCACCTCCATCTCTGGGTTTGTTTGTTTTTTTTTCTTCAACTTTTTCTCAAGAGAACTTCCGGAAAATTTAAATACTGCACAGAAAACTGGGGAAATTGGAGGATGGGAAGAAGCCAAGTCAATGCAGATATACTAACACTACAGATGAGGAAACAGGGCTGACAGCCCAGCAGCCTGCGTCTGTCGGTTACCGAGGAGAGGAGTGTGCATCAGAAGCCCAGGAAGGCAAACCGGAGGTAGGCGCCAGCAAACCGGAAGTCGGAAATGGGAAGTGGGGGAGGGCGAATCGGAAGGAGTTTCCGTCCTTCACCACAGGAAAATTCAGCTCTGTCTCTAGAGAAACGTGCATGTGAAGAGGGTTTTGTCACAAAAAAATCACACCACAGATCACAGGAGTTCTGAGTTGCAAGGAATCTTCACCCAGCTCTTTACAGATGAGAAAATGGAGACCCAAGCAAGATGAGTTGCTAGCAAGACTAGACTAGTACTTGGCTAAAGTCAAATGGCTGCTGGGAAAGTAGGAACTTGAAACCCAAGATCGCTGACATTTACAGCCTCCAAGTCCAGTGCTCTTTGCATGGGGAAAGCTGTTGGTTCATGAAAATTCAATAGAGAAGTGCACCCAAAGAAAATGTCTGTTTAGTGTGCAAACAAGCTGTTTTCCCTTTTCCTCTACTATTAGTTCCTATTTTTCTTTAAGGTGTCTCTGTTGGTCTCCAATGTTACCGGTTCATTTTTAAAAACTCTTTATGCATTCACATGAATTTTTAACAGCCATATATTAAAATGAAATGTGCCACAAAACAGTTCTGCAATCCAAACCAAGTAAGCAATGTCTACACAAATACCCCTGGAAGAGTATGAGGTTCTGTCAGATCTGATTTCCAAGTACCATTATTCTTTCCTGTGATCAAAATGCCATTTCACTATAATAGAGGAGCATATGAGATCACAGATTTTGAAAAGGTGGCATTTTGCAGATAAGATGGTTGAGTGTTAGCATTACAGTACTCTTAAGCTATTTCTAGTAATGATACTTCATACCCATTACATTTTTCAAATCTTATTTTCTCCTTTTGATAAGTTACAGCTAATCTCTCCATTGACAAGTCATTATCTCAGGATTTACCATCTTTGTCTTAAGAGTTATAACCCCAACTACCTAGCCCAG